CCCAGCTCTCCCAGGCTGGCTCCAGCCCTGGAGCAGCTCCATGGATTTATCTGGACCTTCCTTCCACTGCAGCCTGGTCCATGGCAGGTGTCCCTGCCCATGCAAGGGTTGGAATTGGATGGACTTTGAGGTCCCTTCCCACCCAAACCATTCTGGGATTCTCCTCTCCCTGTTTCCTGCAGAGCTGCCAGTTTTGGGTTGTGTGGATGAAAAAATCCTTCACCTCCCTGCAGGAAATGCTCTTGGTAGAATCAATCAGGATGGAGGAATATTCCTGATTTATTTTTATGGAGATGCTGGTGGCTCTCCAGCACAGGGAATTGGCTACAGTGGAGAAATCGTGGGTGGTCCATGTAAATAACACATTTCACACCTTGATAGAGGCAGAGAATCCCCAGTGGAGATCTCCAACTCTCAGGGAAAGAATCCTTCACTCCCCACTTGGGGATTTTCTTCCACAACAAAACTCCAGTGTTTAGAGCAGTGAAGGTGGGAGGAGCAGTGGCATTAAAATTGCACTGCTGTGTAGTTGGGATGTCCAAAGCATCACCAGGAATAAAATTTACACCTCAGCATCTTTTTTTTGGGGTAAAATATCTAAATACAAACAAAATTCCTTCTCCCCCCACCCCATAGCCTTCACCTACCTGCAGAGCACCCACGATTATTGATGGAGGAGATGTAAAAGCACATTTTTCTCTCAGTGCCAGGCTTCTGTTTCCTCAAATCCATCATCATCTGGCCCAGCAGATCAGACAGATTGTTTTATTCCTCACCGTGCAGTTCATCCCAGTCAATAATATTGATTAGTGCAGGGTGACTTGATGGAACAAGAATAACACCCCTCTCTTAATTGGAGCCTGCATTTCCTCCTCCCTGCCTCAGCAGCTCATGCTTGGCTGGCTTCTCCAATAATTCTCTTCAGACACCACAGAGCCCACTGGAAATTGCAGGATCTGACATTAACAGGGGAAGTGAATAATTTTCTTTTCCTTGAACTCGTGCCTCTTTTCTTCCCCGATTAAACTGCCATGTTGTGAGAGTTCACTCTTCAAACTGAAAATCTTGGGGTTTTTTTTTGGTTTTTTTTTTTTAAATACCATCAGAAAGTTTTAAACAACTGTGTCCTCAGTTGCTTCGTGCTTCCCAAGTCCATGTGTTAGGAATTATCAAGGAGCTCTGTGGGCTCAGGGCTCATTTGAGGAGCTGAGTCAGCTCTGGAAATGTTGTGGCTGCAGAATTCCACTTTCCCAGGATCTCCCACTCCATGGGGAATTCAGTGCTGGAGCTTTTACTCTCACATCTTGGAATTTATGGGAATTCTTGTAGGAAGCACTCCTGACCCAGAGGGATTATTGAGGTGTTGGTGACCTGCTCAGTCCTTGCAGAAGGGTCAAATAAATTCAGTCACCACAGAGCTTTTTCTGCAGATTGATTGTCCTAAAGCACATAAAATTCCCTTGGAAAAGAAAGTTGGAGTCACTTCCTCACCAGTTGTGTTGCTCCTCTTTCCCATTTGGAGAAATCCTTTTTGTTCTGGAGACAGGGGAGATGTCAGGGTCAAAAACTTCAGTGACCTGCTGGGGTAGTTTGGATTTCAAAACTTTTGTCATTCCCCTGCCTCTAAAGCTGTCCCAATAACGTGATTGGCTTCTGTATTTATCATTTTTTATCAATCTTTAAGGAGAGTTCACATGGAAAGGGTTTGATAACACCTGGGATATTCAAACTTCGCCCAAGTTCCTTTTGGAGGAAACCCTGGGATGGAATTCCCAGAGCAGCTGTGGCTGCCTCTGGATCCCTGGAGTGTCCAAGGCCAGGCTGGACAGGGCTTGGAGCACCCTGGGATAGGGGAAAGTGTCCCCATGGGATTGGAACTGGGTGGGCTTTGAGGTCCCTTCCAGCCCAAACCATTCCATGATGATTTGTTTAGGTGTGGGGTGTCTGACCTGTTGTCCTAAAGATATTTTCTTCAGGAATGCTTCCATGTGGGCTTTGTTGCTGTCAGAGCTTTCAGGAAGTTGTTGTTTTTCCCCTCCCCTCTCTTTTCTCTCCCAGTATCCAAATTTTAGGTACTTTGGTGTCAGGAGCTGCCTGTGGGTGTCGTTTTGGGGTGACACAGTGGCACTGCTCAGGTTTTATGGCCACTCCAAACCCTGCAGGCTGTGATGTGTAAATGATGTTCCCTCAGTTGTGTTTTGCTGCCAAACTCTGCAAATTCCTTTTTCCTGTAGCTGAGATCCCGTTTGTACCCAGGTGGAACTCAGAGAAGGGAAAGTTCCACACAGGAATTCCAAGAAAAAGAGCTGGGAATGAACTCCTGGGAGAGCCAGTATTGCTAAATACATGATAAATAAATAAATGAGTTAAAATGTCATCCCAGACCATGGTTGCAATTGTGCCATCCCCTCTCAGAAGTGCAGCACTTGCAAGCAGGAAAATTCTGGGGATTTGTTCTCTCCAGGCCTTTTCCAAGCACTGTGGGCTTCAAAACACACCTGAGCCACGTGGCCAAGGGGTTGGGTGTTTGTCACCCGGGGTGAAGCACCTGGATTTGGTGGATTTTGTGCCAAAATGTCCCTAATTCTGGGACAAGGAGCCCAAAATCACCTCCAGTCACCACCTGCAGTGTTGCCTCTGCCCTGGCAGAGCTTGGGGAGGGCACAGAGAGCAGAGCTTCACGTTAATTACTGATCTTGCAGGAAAGAAGCATTTAATTCCTGTTTAATTATGGCTTGCTAAATGTTTAATTATCACTTGCTGTCTGAAAATCAAGGGCTGTTAGACAACTTTGTTCCACGTTATTTTCCAGGAGGACCAGATGATAATTTAATTGAAGGTGGTGGGTCCAAGTTTGTCTGCAAACCAGGAGCCAGGAACATCACCATCATCTTCCACCCCCTGCTCAGGTAAAATCTGCACATTCCTACAGCTGCAAAGAATTAAAATAAGTCGAATTCAATTCTGATTTGTGGGGATGTTGGGCACGTTCCAGTTCTGAGATGCCAGAGCAAAGGGGTTGCTCTGAAGTTGTTGACGTTGTAAAGTTGTTGTGTGGAAAAAAAAAAAAAAAAAAAAAAACTTGACAATGTTTTTAAATCTTTTTCAAACTGAACTGTGATGTCAGGTGGGATTTCCTGTCTGGGTGACCCTGTGTCACTGACCAATGTCATTTATTGACCTGAGTTGGGTGAAGTTTATTTGCAACCTGCCAAAAATTGATTCTTGCTCTTCTTTGTGCTTATTAAAAAGTCAGAGGACCTGCAAGGTGAGTTCATTGATAAAACACTGTGGGCTGGGGACTGCAAATTAATTCCTGATCCAGAGTGAGCCAGGAATTAAAATGAAAAAGGATTCAAATTGTCACAGCTGGAACTTTAAACAGAGCAAGCCTTTAATAAACCTCTTCTCACTCTATCATTCACCTCTGATATTTGAATTTTGCTGCTTTTCTAACAGTTTGTCCTGTTGGTTTTGTGGAAATACAATGTTTGTCCAGGTTCAAGTCAACCTCCCACCTCTTTTATCCTGGAAGGGATTTCCCTTCTCCCCAGTCATGGCCTTTCCCAGCACCTTTGGAGAGCATTTCCCAGAAAATAGTCATAAAAAATAATTGGAATCTGATCCCCAGAGGAAGGAATCTCCTCCTGGCACCTCCGTGGCTGAGAACTGGGCTGAATTGTGACTTCTCAGGACTTTAAAACACAGTTGGAAAAGACATAAATTCCTCCAAATCTAAATTTCTGGTGTCACAACAGCAGAAATTTGAATAATCTTGAGAAATCCTGACCTGTGGTGCAATGGTGTGCAAGATCTTGCCTTGAAAAAAGAGTTTATTTCTTGCTACATAACAAAGTGGAGAATTCCATAAGCACATTTCATTTCCACCTCTGTCTCTCTTAAACTGAAGAAATGTGCTAGAGGTAAATTTGCTACAGGAGGATTTCTAGTTTTCAGCTATTTCATGATGGGAAAAGATGGACAACTGAAATTCAATGCTCTTCAGGGTGTGACTATGATGATGTGGACTTCAATTCCTAAATCATTAATGAATTTACAGGCATCTTGCAAGCCCAGGGGGTGGTGAAGCTCCTGTTTTTATTGATGAGATCTTTCCCATTGATTGAAATTCTTTCTCTTTGCCTTCCTGCTTTATTTTTT